GAAAGCACCGTAAAGGGCACAGGGTCCAAGTGGATGGTGGGACACACAGGGGAAGTATGTGACCATGTGGGTGCATGTTTTGTTAGGTAGATTTACACACACACACACACACACACACACACACACACACACTTCTGGTTGGGACAGTAAGCACTGTCACATATCCTCGGAGGCCCTGGTTTTCTGCATTCTCTTACTCCCCCAGCCCCCCACCCCACCTGCTAAGCTCCATTCATGCTGGCCCTCTCTTGATTTTTTTTTTCTGCCCTTACTCTGGGGCCTTCACAGCAGGTTCTAGCGTATTTTTCTAAGCATAAGTAAGGTTAAGCACGGGCTTACTTGTGCTTACCTATTTTTTTTTTTTAATCATTTCACTGGGGACCCTTGCAGCTCTTATAACAAGCATTACATCACTTAGTCTTCTGTAGTGAGCAGTTTCACCTGCGTCCCACCACACTGCGCATGTGAAGCTGCTCAGTACAGGTAAGTACGCACAAACCCGGGTGTGCTTCCCATGCCTCCTGGGTAATCCGACAGACTGCATACAGTTTTCTTTGTTGCCCTGAAGTCATGCTTAGCGTACATAATTGTTCTCTCAGATATGCTTTGCCTTCCTCTTTATCCAAATAGCCTCCAAATTGCCTTTCTTCCCCCGTTTTGTTTTTTCTTTTCTTTACTGAAGGTTCCTTGTTCATTTCCTTCCCAATGACTCGCTTTGAATTGGTTAGAATGGCTCAGTCGTGGGAAGCATACTGGGAAGAGACCACATTTTTTGGACGTGAGTGATCTGGATGGATAACTGGAGACAGGGAGACTAGGGTTCGAAGCCCTGGGCTGGGAGACCCAGACGAGCCACTGGTGCATGCCGGGCTCTCGCCCAGACTGGCGAGGGCGTCTCGACAGAGCCCCGAGGCAGGCACCACCTTTGAGTCGGGCACCCTTGTTTTCAACTCCGCCTGTCTAAAAATGTGGCTGTTACCCTGGTTCCCTGTGAGGAAGATGAATTCTCTAGCAGGCATCCACCTGTAATTTTTAAGAAATTCGGTCCATTCCAGGGTCTCAGCTTTCAGAGCAGACCACTTTAGTGCTGGTGTGTAGTTCCATGCGCATGCCTTTGCCAGATAGCGAAGACCACACTTATCGCATTGTGGCTCAGTGCGCATGCGTTCTTATGGGATCGTTGACAGGTTTAGAACTGGCCCTTGGAGTTTGGGACACATTCGTTTGTTCACCAGCCTGCCTCGCCATGTGGAGGCGGGGATGCTACTTGTTCCCCTGGTTCTGTGGTAGCTGTGCCAAGCTGCTTCCTTCTTAACCTCCTCTCCCCTTCACATCTGGGAACACCAAGGACCCAGGCCCTTGAAGAGCCAAATGGGAAGGGGGGTGAGGGTTGGGGTGGGAGGCAGGCCTCTTGAGTCCTGGGGGGAGGGTGGACAAGTGTCGAGGAATCTCTCCTAGTCCACACCCTAACTTGCTTCCCTGTTTTCTTGTCTAAATAGCAGAGAAGACTGCTGATGGCTCAAATGAGCACCACGGCACACTCGTTGCCGTCAGTGAAGCCCAGGATCCTCCAGGCCAGCAAAGCCCTGATGCAGGGCCCAGTGATGCCAAGGACTCAGCAGCCCC